AAGACTGGACTGGAAAACACTTCTGGGGATTATAGACTGAATTCTATCTCCCCTTCTTCCATGTTCTTGGAAATTGGGCTTTCCTTTGTTGTGTTAATGATGCCATGCCAGAGTAGGGTGGGTCCTAATTCTAATCACTTTTGAGAGGTATCTTAAAAGAAGAGCTGAACAAAGAGACATTTACATAAAGAGAACCCACTGCCATTGAGCCCATGCTGACTCATTGCAACCCCCTGAGGTTTCCAGGAGCCTAATTGTTTATGGGAGTAGAAAGCAGTCTTTCTCCTGCAGAGCTGCTCCTGGTTTCAAACTGCTGACCATACAGTTCGCAGCCCAACAAGCAACCAGGACACCACCAGGTCTCTATACATAAAGAGAAGACACAGGAGAAGGAATGCCAAGGAACAACCAGGGTCACTGACACGGATGGACCCTTTCCTAGAGTTGATATCCTGATTTGGAATTCTCATTTCCAAAATTCATCAATGAACTCCAGCACCCTAAAGCTGCTCACTTAGGGTCTGGTTTCCCACAGTGGCACCAGGCAACTAAGATAGCAAATGTACCTTGGCAGGTGTTGTGTACACAGGTACGCCCCGGCAACGTAACGGTGAAACCACTGCGCAGTTGCAGCATAATGATGGAAAACTGTAAATGAGACTCAATATGGAACTAGTGCTAGGCCAAATATGTATTGTGATAATATCCTTCAGTTTGCTAATAAATGTACATAATCTTTAAGTACAAATGAAATTTAACATATGGACATAGTCTTTGCATTTAAAATGACAGACATTGCTGTACATACAAAAGGATATTATACATGCATACATGTGAACCACCTACATGCATGTAACTTAAAACTGGCCAATAATGGAACCTTTACACAATCAATCCATTTGCATATTAGTTTAAAATTGGTATCCACATTTGGAATAGTGAGCACATCAACGTTGTATCTGAACATTTAGACGATTTCTTATAGAGAAAATGCTTATGCTGTCAGTATTCCTCAGGCATAGAACCAGTATAGAGTCTCTTCTTTCAACAAATAAGGATTAACATTACTGAACTCAATTTAGAACCAAAAACTACTACAGTGTAAAACACTGGCTTCAAAAACATCCCCCCCCCCACTAGAATAGCTGTAATTCTGAGATGCCCCCATCCACCCAATATGATAACATGATCTTCTTTGTATTTCCTCTACCCTTTCTAATTCAGGACCGATCTATCTTCCTATCTATATCTATATATCTATATACCTATCTATCTATCACATGCACACACACATGCACACAAACAAAGTGAGTGTTCAACCACAACATACAAATACCACACTTTGGTGCCAATCAATCCGTTTCCGTTTGGCTATGAGCATTTAGGAATAGTCTTCTATTCAAGAACATTACAAAGAGTTAATGACAAAGTAGCAACACTGCCTA